GATAGGAGGCCGGAGGTTATACGCCAAGGCACAGCCGGAGCACACCGCTTGGCTAAATTGCTATCCTTACAACGCCTAATTGACTATGAGCAGAGGCACCCTGCCCCGGATTTACTCCATTACATCACTTAAAAAATTCGGTTACCGTCTGGACGGTATTTGCTAAGTCCTTGGACAGGAAGAATTACACTTGGCCTGTCAATAAAGACGGAGCGACCCAAATATCAAAGAAATAAAAACGCTAAATTATTAACCACAAGACCTCGTACGTGAGGTTTTGAGAAGTGCAATGTTGTAATATTTTCATTTTCTTGTGCAATCAACACAAAAATAAAATCCTAATTGGTCTTACACTGGAGTCGACACTAAACAGACAAGAAACTAAAACAATTTGGTTTTTCTTAGTATACGAACTAAAACAGTGTCGTTTCGGAACACCTCTGGTTTGAGGTGTCTACCGTCGCTAGGGAGACATCGAGACTTCACACTTTATAGACGTCGCTAAAATGATGAAGTCGAAGCATTGTTTTTTGTTGGGGGAGTAATTGTTGGTAGCGAACACACTACCTCCACACACGACACTACACACACCACACAACACACACAACACACACACACACACACTACACACACACCAACACACTAAGAACACCACACACACACACAACACACACAACACCACACACACACACACACACACACACCACACACACACACTCACACAAAACACACACACACACAACTCCTCTCTGTCTCTGTCTCTCCTATTACTCCGCCCCCTCCCTTCTATCTTCTATACACACTCTCTCTCCCCTCCTACACCTCAACAAATTCACTTAACCCTTCCTCTTCTGTCTCTTCTACTTCTCCTTCTTTTCTTTTACTCTGTTTTCCTCATCTTCATCTCCTGTCTATCTTTACCCCTCACACCAGCCGTAGACGTCCTGGTGCACTGAGCGCGAAAAATAGTTTCTGCCCGAGTCTATTTGGTGTAGGACTTTGAAGTGTGGAGGGCCTGTCGACAGAAGATGTGCTCTTCTGTCCTGTCGCGTGTGTCGTCCCCTCTGAGTGTGTCGTGTACCGTGTATCTAATGTCTGTGTGTCACGTTCTTCAGAGTTCTGTTTGGTTCGTTCTCGTGAAGTTTTCAAGTAGACTTATTATTAGTTCCACAGAACATCTCCAAAAGGTCCCCGGTTATCCTCTAACGGTGCTTCGGACCTTTATACTGTAAAATCTTTATAAGGACGTATGACGTTAAAGATGAATAGGCAATTATTTCTACATCAATCATGAAATTTCGGTACAATTCCACACAACCATTCCCACTCTAAGGTATCCACTAAGCTTGATATTTACCAAGGTTTACCTACCAAGTCATTTCTGTCTTGTGTTTACCCTGATGTTGTTACCTCAAGTTAGTGTTATTGCTACAGATGTCTAACGTTTTACTTTCACTGTCGAGTCCCATTTCAAACAACCGATTGCTAATGCTGTATCCCTGATACTACGCTACTACTTACTACTACTCTGATACGGCTATTTCGAGTCGAGACCGCCGGTGAGTATTGATGGGAAGAGTCGCGCGGGCGTAACACTCACGCCCAGTTGTCTCGTTTCTCGTCTCTTATTATTGTTCTGTCTAATCTACCTTTCGTACGTGTCAACATTTCAGTGGATGTTCCTCTTTTCCTAACAGAGAAATCCTAACTTTCTCCCGGTATGGGAGAGTCAAATCCGTCGTTGAATGAAAGAAAAATTAGGCCGGGTTGTATATTTCGTAATGGAGTAATTTTTGTGTTTACCTCTTAACTTTCTCTCTGTCTTCTTTTAGGAGTGTTTAACGTTGCAACTTAATCTCTTGTAAACCGTAACGAATTTTTGCTTAAGGAACATGGTTAGGTGATTGCCTTTTGCTGATGACATCGTCGAAACAGTCATATCGGAAAGCATAGACGTGACAAAAGGAAAATAATATTCCTCCAAAAACTTGTAGTAGTAAAAATAGGCCTGGTTAGTGTCACTCAGCCGCGGTTCGATCAATTCGAAAGAAATCATCGTTTTCGACTTGTTCGAAAAAGACAGGAGAAAAGAAAGGATAACCTAATTAAGTTGTCTGTCAAAGACCAAGGGTTGAATTAAACCGTAAAGCTAACATAACAAACTAAATCAATATCGAACACACTTGTTGTAATTTCTACAGAGTACAACAAAAATTAAGATGATATGTAATCATAATCAATTTCATCTACAAGCTAGCTACCGCGACTCTCGGCTAGCTACTGGCATTTTACACTCATTTTATATCACACGCCGTTTTGCTCGAGCGGTTTACCGAGTGGTCAGACCGCAAAAAGCCAGGTCGAATCTGCCCACAATGAACGTTGCATAACTTCGTTTTAGACGTCGAGGTGGGCGGACACTGCCGGCCCTCGCCCTGCGTTCGTCTGTGTCATTCTCAATCTGGATGTGTGAATGGATAAAATAGATGGAGACCTTTGATCGAATTGTCACCATGATGATACAATAAAAGTGACAGCCAGTGATAATACCTAGTCACTCGACTACGTACTCCTGCTATACTGGCCGACAGTCATCCCTCCTACTCTCTCCTTTTCTCGCAAGGCGAGAAAAGGCACAAAATAGCGTTTCCAATAGAGTTGACTTATTACCGTGAAGTAAACTACACTTATAAATACACAACCAACAACAACAACCTTCGCGGTAACTACTCGGGTAATGGACTCAACATTCTTGTAGTGGAATTTACTCTAGTGTATCCGGGGCGGGTGGTCAGCCATAGCCGCTAGACTAGGCCTAGCTGGGGTTTAACCAGCCTAGCCCGTAGGGATCAATTTTCCACACGCGGAATGCACTATCGACCTCCTTACCGGGGACTGTACTCCGAGGAAGTGTTTTGTATTAGACGTCGCGTGGTGGGGGTTTTTTTTTTTTTTTATTGTTCTCACATTAACGAGTCGGAACGAAAGATACTCCAAATTTCATGTCAACATACGTTGAAGTCCATCAAATCTTTCTTGGTCGTCACTTTTACCTGGTGTGTCGAGTCATTTAGTACGTATTAAATTCCTTTTGGTAAATGTATTAGTTAATAGTGAAGGTGTAACCGTATGGTCGCGGATTTAGACATGA